CTAAGCTTATAGATTAGTCATAGATAGACATAATTTGAATTCCAATAAAAATGATATAATTTGATTAATTTATATTATATTTTAAAGGTTTCTGGCTTAGGTATTTTTGATGGGCATACGTGAATATTACATGATAGTAATGGTTGTGTCAAACGATTAATTCTATTTGGGGTGGTATAGGTGATTATAGGCACACACAGTCTAATACAGTCTAATCATCCGTTTCGGTTGAATCAATACTAAAGCAGACACACGTGATGTAGCTAAACTGAAAACACGAGCGTTTAACAGTCGTCTGAAACCTAGCAGCAGTATATCATAATATCATTATATACCTTTATGCGAATCATTAACGAAAGACTGATTTGCCGATTTTAAAGTACCTACGCGTAGGGCAGTTTTTAGCGTTTATACAACAATTTTAGTTATTTGTTGAGAGAGAACACGCTATATTAAAAAAGTATAGAAGTATTAATACATAGGCAATACTAATTTAGTACAAAAATATTTCCTTCGTATCGCGTATTCGCTCGGGCGTATCGTGTACGGATTTGTCAACCTCCCCGCGAAACCAACGCGTCCGCGTGTACCCATTTATATTACGGCGTTTCGTTGACTTCGTTTTACAAGCTGTATATTAGATATATTGTACACACACACACACACATATATATATATATTCAATATTATCATAAGCATTTTGTGCGCGCATCATTATTATTCCGGTTGATAAGCCCCCGGGATGCGTGCGATTACAATAAAACATACACAGTACACGCTCACACTCACATCTAACCTATGTGTTTGTGTATACAGGATGACATGGTTGTTCAACGGACCGTGGAGTGTGTGCAATAGTCGCGTGTGTGTTGTGTGCGTTGAAGGGCAGATGTTTAATCCTCTCGCTCTGTCGGCGGTGGTTACAATATCACGTGTGCCATCGGCGGTGGTGTCCTCGTCGTGAAATCGGTATATACTCATACACACACACACACACACACATATATATATATGTTTATTGTATGTGTGTTTGTGTGTGTGTGTGTATAATAATGAATGGATCCCGCGATCCACGACGGTGGCAGCAGAAGCGATACTTTGCGGCTGCTGCGGACGCCGCCGTAGCGTCTATACACACGGAGGAGAACTGAGAAAAAAAAAAAAAAAAAGAAAAAAGAAAAAAAAAAACGAAAACGAAAAAAATTTATTATTATCGTGTTTTACAAACGGTCCAACAACGCTCATATCATTATACACATAATAGCATTTTATAAACGTACAAAATGTTTAAAATGTATGTATGCGAGTACGAGTGTGTGTGTGTGTGTGTGTGTGTGTGTGTGTGTGTGTGTGTGTGTGTGTGTGTGTGTGTGTGTGTGTGTGTATGTGTGTGTGAGTCGGGTAGGCGTTATAGCTCGAAGATGTGCTGCAGCGTACGCGATATACATATATATCGTATGTATGTGTTCGTGTGACACTGCGCGTGTGATGTGTGTGCGTGTATGATATATATGCATACGTATTACACAGTTACATACTTATAAATACCTGTGGCCGGTGCGCATGTTATTATACATATTATAACCGCGTGACTCCTGTTCTACACGTCTTTAATGTGTTTGTAAGTATATGTGTGAGCGTGTTTGTGTACGCCGCTATACGTACATACGCCTGCACCGACCCGAGTGCACGATACGACGTGTATTATATACAGGATGTTCGCGCGTCGCTTTTCCGATATTTTGAGTCTTTGAACACGCGGCCGTGAAAAACGCCATAGCCATTACTCTGGATCTCCGGACGTTTGCCGTTTTATCATTCAATATACATATAAAACGCGTGGAATAGAATTTCAGTAATAAACTTTTTTTTTTCCATATATCTATTCCCACGCGTGTTTATAGATATTTCATTGTTTTTACAGCATCGTGACTACGATCCTCGTATAAAGAGATTTTAATGACCGTTCATGTCTTAACTATATCGGTCGATTATAATTTATACCTACACAAGATGGCCAGAGCGTGCGTAAAAAACTGACAATGCCACTGTGAAAAAATTTTCTTTCGACATTAGTATTAGGTATACTATTTATTAATGCGTACTACAATTATTAGTTGATTCTATTCATCAACTGTTTTGTATATCGAGTGTACTTGTTTTTTCCCCCTTTTTAGTAATTTTTTTTTTTAAATTTAATTTTATTGTCTGAAAGAATTTCCGTTACATAAGGATATTTTTAACGTCACCGATGTGTTTTTTTATAAAGCAAGTATATTTTAAAGATTAATTCTTTATAATTTTATTTATATTCTTTCGTATCAAATGAAACCGAAAATTTTTCTTTAACATATTGAAGTATTATAATATAATATTTTTGGTTGCAAAGTAGCTAACTGAAAATTTAAGTAATACAATATACAAACATTTGTTTGGATATTTTTCATAGGATAGATTGGTCGCAGGCATGTGGCATTTTTTGATGTTTTTTTTTAATAAATCGTTTTAGTGTCAACGGCGTGCGAACCAATCTCGTTTGAACACCCTGTATAATATATGTATAATATTTATAATATGTATAATATGGCCGGTCCAATTCACCCAGGCGTCCGCGACGTTATTAATATTATTTACTGGGCGAACCGGTGTAGATTTTATTTATCGATGTCACCTTCTCGCCCGCGGCCGCCGTTTCTTTGCGGCTTTTAAACTGCGTCTGTAATGCGCCCGGCCCGGCCCGTGTGTTCGGAAGGAGGGAAAAAATAAGTGTAATAAAAATTGTATATTTAAAAATATTCAAAGTACGCTAATAAGTCATGCTGCGTTTGGAATATATGGTACCGGTTGTCCACTGCAAGTCCCCGACGAAATATTGCCCACATCCTCTGCTTTTGTGCTATCACACGTTGCCGACGACGATTTTATTTATTATTATTTTTTTCTACTTAATTTTTTTTTTTTTTTTTGAATTTCCTGTTTATGCGAAATAAGCATTTTAGTTAGTCCCCAGCTCTTCACTAACCTCCCCTCTCCTATCACCCCGTTCACTCAGCTCTACCACTCGAAACTCAAGTCGTTCTATCGCGTTATTTTTATAATTGAATTTAATCCCAAATAGTGTTACTACCGTATTCCGGTATTCGACCAGGTTAAACGCGTAATAACTAATAATAATATAAATATATCTCATGTTATGTACTAAATACACGCTTACTCATCCAAAACCCATATAAAACTATATTATAATAGGTACGTCTACACCACCAGTATCTCGTAACATAATATAGGACAAATCACGTGTGAAAATCCGTAAATATTGTCGTGACTGGTTGCTACGTCTGGTTGTGTTGCAGTGTTTATAGGTATATTATAATATTATATTTTATACGTTTGCGTCGAAAACGATTACGTAGACTTTCAAGGCTCCACCTATGCTGTAGCTCGGCAAATCTGAAAATATATGAGAAAATAAAAACACACATTCACAGTAGACATGTATACGAATGTGCGTGCTGTATAACAGATAAAGTAAAACAGTAGTAGTACTAGTAGCTGCAGTAAAATATTTAATAGACATCATTTTAACAGCTATAAAAAAAAAAATATATCTTTAACACATTAAATTTAAATGTTTCGATTATATTGAAGTGTTTATGTACATGAATAGTGTTTTGCACCTAGTTTATGATTTTTCGCCTCATTAATTTTAATATTGAAGACATTTTTTTACCTATCTAAATATTATATACACCTAACATCTCTTAATTAAATGAGACGTTTAGTAAATATATTTTTGCATAATCGTAAATATCTCTATGATTATAATATATGCAGGCAGTGTATCTATGTTTTGTTTTGAAATGCATAAATTCATTGTATCTATACGACTATATATTATCATTTCATTTTTATAATGCGTATATAAGAAGAAATACCTACTACCTACTTTTTTTAATATCGAGCTATTAATAATTATATGTAATAGTAGACTGCACGTATACAACTGAGTGAGTTTTTAATATTTGTCTATTCTAAAAATATATATAATATATACAGTCAGTTATAAGCTAATGGTTCTAAAAAAAAATAAAAAAAATATATACAGTCGTACAGACGTATAGTGTTCAGTTTACATACTATTATTTGTGTAATAAAAATAAAAATATTTGATAACTGATCATATAGAATTGAAAAATACTATTAAAAACATAACTAGGATAAAAACACTTATATATGTATATTTTGAATTTTGTTTTATTGCATTTAAGTATTATAAACATTTTCAATGTTAACAGTTAACAATATTAACATTATCACGTGTAACTATAGACGGGTAGGTACTATACAATTCACGTGGGATATTGAACATCGCATATGAGATTAAGAAAATGCATACATATATAGCCGTATAAAAAATATTTTACTAAATTTGTAAACAGTAATGGAAAGTTTTGATAAATTGATTTAGCTGGTGAAAGGCGTGAAAAATCACTGACGTTAATGTGTGTTAAGTCGATCTGTATTTGGTATCGACAGATCTAAAGATGTCAATCGTTTGTTAGTCTAATATGAATGGTCTATATTTAATGTTTACTTTGTTCAGGCAAAACACATAACGTACAATATATTATTATAATTTTTATAGGTTTAGAAGAGTTTTGGGTCTCGCTAAAAACTAGCAGTCGTTAAAAATTTACGGCCACGCAACTTAAAATGTATAACATTTATGTATGCGCGTGGAGATTTCGACTATGATTTTATTATAATAATACTTAAGTATGATATAGTTGCGCGTATTATGTAACAATAAAATAAGTATCACATATTAAGTGATATATAAATATATAATATCCACGAGAATGTAATACGCGTGCATTTGCTGTATATTTGTGTCCAATATTGATATACTTATAATTATATGTTCCCTAAAGTCCGTATATATATACATATATATATATATATATATATATATATTGTCAATAACTTAATTATGATTGCAGGAGAAAACTGCAGACAAGTCAAGACATTTAGCGGAAGATGCTTTATGCGAGAACAAAAGCTTACACTTTCGTGAAAAGTACGAATTCGTCCAATATGTCAAGGTACGCGTAATTTGAACCGGTATATTTTACCGTTACATGAACGAATAATACTGTCCTCGATGTAAAAATAAATTATAATGTACACACACATACATATAAATATACGAGGCGAGGATGTATATAAAATAGGCTTATAAGGCCTATATTTTATGTGATGTAGTATGTTTATTGTTTATACATTTCTCAAATTTATATATTTCAATATACATATATTAATATATGTGAGTAGGTACACTACAATTTTTTAAAGTGTTTAAAATAATGCATAGTTGTGTATTTTTAATGCAAACGTAAATTAAAACTAATAAGTAATAAATGATTTAATTTTAATTATTGTTTAGAATAATTAATTAACTGTAATTTGAAATTGAATTACAAATAATTAAAGGTGAAATAATTGCAATTATTCGAAGGATCGAGGATGGTTAAATAGTGATGTTTTTGTATTTAAAAAAATCTAGTTAATGGGGAAAAATAATATTTGCGCTTCGATAGTAGACTATTAAAATACCTACTTGAAAATATAGGAGAATTTATTGGCCCATTCTTAAATTACAGCATTATCAATAATTTTATTGTAGATTAAAAATTTATATCTAAGTGAAGTAACCATAATAGGCAAGGAATTTTTTCAGTTTTAAACGAGTATTAATTGGTGACGAAATATGTAGGTATTTTAAAAATGTATTTGTCGTCCCTGATATCATAACAGCGTGCTTCTGCACTGAATGGGTATATTAAATAATTTATTCATAAAATATATATTTATGTGACTGATAATCAAAATTGTCGATATAGTGAGCTAAGTATACAATACAAATCACCGTTATCATGCTGTTGTGATCTGTACTCTGTTGACTATATATACAATGTACGCGTGTCATGCTGTAAATATAATAATTACGGTACATTACTGTTATTATTTTTTCAATTTAATCGATTGCTATACAGCGTGTTTACGTGTAATAATTCGTCAATATTCTACAATATAACTTGAAAAATAAAACGAATCCCACGATCGTATAATATTTAAGTTTATATAAAGTAGGCACACACACAATATATGTACGACATATCGTAAATGTAGATCGTAAGTACACGATAATATACATTATATTATTTATATATATATATAAACATATGGATGTATAGAAATCTCGGGATGTCTATAATAATTCATTCGGATATGTCATCGCCGCCCTCCCCCAGAGAGACCGCCGCCGCCGCCGCCACTGCCACTGCCGCCGTCGTATTAAAGCGGTTAGCTAGTAATTATTCCGCGTCTTTGACTTTGATCGTATATACTCATATATTATATTAATATATTATTACATATCGAAAGACGTATGTGTGCAGCCGCGACATTATATTGTACTCGTTACATATATACGCATGTGTGTGTTTGTAATAATATATAATAGAATATAATATAGTAATATATACAATACTTGCGTGAATATATACATAAACTGCAGCAATATATTTAAGTATAAACGCCGGAACAACGTCGCCCCGCCGCCATCTGCTCGTCCGCATTATTGGAGGTGTATTATATTAAAATATGGGTTATATATACATGTATGTGTAGTGTGTAAAATTTGTATGCCAAAAAAAATATAATAATCGAATAAACACAAAAACGACGACGGCGACGAGTCGAGTCAAGTCAGCAGCAGTCCTTATGCGCCTATATTATATTATACATGTTTTCGGGTCTTAACTGATCGCTGCGGTCCATTGTCACGTGTATTTGTAACGTCCTTTGTAGTATATATATATATATATATATATGTATACATAATAATGGGAATCGTATACACAGAAGTACGCTCGCGAATTCTCGGGATGCTGTACAATAATATAATGTATACTATTATGTATATACATTTTTTTTCTCAAAAAAAAAAAGTCAAAAAGCCACTCGTCCCGGCGCCCTCCCGGGCCGCAGCTGATGTCCGAATCGTATTTTTATTTGGTATTATACGTTTTTAATGCACTCGCCACCGCGAAGTACGCGCGCGCGAACGCGTGTGTGTATATAGCGGTGCAAGACACAATACGCACGCCCCCTATTCCGCCCATATGAATTGTATAATATAATATATGTACACGATAATAGTAATACGTGCACAATGATGATGCAATGGTAATAGTCTGCGGTCTATACATGTATATATGTACACACGTGTATATATTATTATAAGAGTTGGAGCGAGAGAGAGTGAGAGAGAGAAAAAAAAACTTACATATTATTATTATATTATACGCACAACAATCGTTTGCCAAAACACACACCCTCTTGACTGCGAGCGCGTCGCGCCCGCGTGTTTAATATTATTATCGGGGTGGGCTTATATTATATACATATACGCATACGTATGTATATTTTGTCCGACACAGTTTGTAATTTAATAAAATCCGTAACGTACGTTACCTAAACCGAACCGTTGAACGAATGACTCGTAGAATAAATGTATACTCGATACATGTCCCGTATATATATATATATATATATATATATTTGCGGTTTTGGCGTGTCTACACAACGACTACACGAGGTCAACGCATATATTATTATTCTATTATGAAATATCACTATATATATGCGTGTGCAATGACGCGAGGGGTGTCCCGATGTATGCACTTGGGGGTAGTTTCACACATTTCGAGTGTACCCACACGATGTTAATAGTCACTGTTTAACCAAATACTATTAAATATTATTATTATATATTACATTTACCCGTATGGCCTTAAATCTACTATACACATGCATTACTATAATATTGTGTATATTATCAATACCTTCCTGATATATGCTTGCTGTTTATATAATAATATGTTAGTATCGACTATCTGTGTTTGGGAAATTATTTAAAAAAAATAATAAATTAATAAGATCACGTTATATGCCATACAGTCTAATCGTAATATTATTCTTTTGGTTTATCTGTAGCGCGAGTGTTATATATGAAATTTTACTAGCTCCTTAACATCGAACTATATATATTACGTATTTAAATATAGTAACTCAACTATTATCGGATAAACTTTATAGAGAAATTAGCTTAATAGACTATATCTTCAATTTCTCGTATCGTACTTTATTTCTTCAATAATTACACAACTTACTATACTCAGGTACTAAATATTATATTATTTTGATATTGATAATTTAACTACATATTATTACATGTATATTTAACTATCTATATGTCTTAAGAATTAAATTAAATTAAATTTTATTTGTCCAACACGAATATTTACAGCTCTTGGTACAAAATCTAGACTATTACGATTTACTGAAGTTGTTGTTTTTTCTATTTTATTATCCAATTATAATTTAATAACTTATTGTATTATAAATAAAATATTATTATTTATAAGTATTAAATTAATTATATCAGTATTTATGAAAAATATATTTTATATATATATATATATATATATAAATAAACAAGTTTATAAATTGAATTATTGGTTTAGTGGTAGCTATACTGTCCCCGGTGGGTGTTCTCTAATTTCAGAATTTTTTTATTAATTAGTTATAGAAAACGTTATATCTTATATGAACTACTTATTTACTATTTTTATAGATGGTTTTCGGGTGAACGGTATAACTTGCTTATAGACTTATTTACAAATGCTACTGTACACGCTGACGCTGAAGTTTTAACAGCAGCAATCACAGTAGCACATAAAATACACCGTAACAGCTAGACACTGACGTTCAACATACTTAGCACATATATGTACACATACGTTTACTTATTTATATATTTCATGACTTAATTAATTATTAAAAAATTATTAATACCTTTAATTTATATATTTATTCATAAAATAGTTTTAAACATTTTGATTTTTAACTTAATCATCATATTCAGAGTTCAAAACACATTAAAGTCATTCAAATTCTAGTGGAACGACGTTTCATTATAATAAGTCATAGAAAAATATAATATGTTCTCTGTACTCTGTCCACTGTACAACAAGATAGCATACCATAGATAGATAAAAATTGGTTCTTCTTCTATTTTATTTTGGCGTTTATTGGCATGTTCTTTTATTAAACAGAGTATAGATAAAAGAGCGATATAGCTTATCGTTAAAAATTTTAAAATTAGGTTAAATAGGAACTAATCAATCATAAAATTTTCTCATAAATCTTCAAATCTAAAACCCACTTACTTTATATTAATTTTAAAACGTAAATTTTTTTTTTTAATGTAAAATAAATTATTTATACATTTATTTAAATAAAAAAACTGCAAAAAAAATTATCGTTAGCTAATAGTACTCATTACAATAATTACATAACAATTTAATATATTTTTTTACATGTACTTAATAATAATAATTTATTTAATTTTCTTTGTGATTATAAGTAATTTTTTCATTTTGAGTGGTAAGAATATCACAATAAATTTAAAATAAAGTTTAATACTCGAATTAAACTCTTTTATAAACCTGCTAAAATTTTCAATGTTTATAAATAATAATACATCTGTTTAGTAAATTAAAAATAGTGTTTAATTTAATTTTATACTAAATGTGTGACTTTTGGATGTAATTTAATAAGCTTAATGGTTGTTTTAATTTATTGTTTATTTGTTTTACTCTTAATCCCTATAGAGAACTTTCCGATGGGTATATATATAATATAATCGTACTATATAATATATGAACATATTATTATATTCCACGAATAATGTACATTATTTTACTATAGGTATAAATTGTATTCTGGTGCTATGTACTCGTATTACTTATTACATATTAATAATCTGTAATATATTTCGTCGATCCAGATACAAAGATACGCCTATTGTATCATACATACTGCTATTTTTTATTTAAACGTATAATATACTGAATGTGTAGTCTGGAAGATATGAACAAAACAACTCATTTACTTTGTAACTTAAATCATTAAATCTTCTAGGTAGGAACATGATAGGAAACTGTGCATAAAAAAACGACCGATAATATATGTTAAG